CGTCCCGGGGCCGGAGCGCCCTCTTCCTCCCCCGTGCGCGGGGGTGGCCGTGGACGGAGGGAGCGATCTAGGAAAATGTCTCTGGGATCTTAGGCTTTTATAATATTTTTTTCCATGTTGCCAGCATCACTGTCATCATCTTGAGTCTCACATTGGAGTGCTTTGTTTGTTTTCACACCTCAAATTTTGCATCCCGCGAACCCAGCGGCGCAGCTCTTTGTCTCATGGATATTATTAGTAGCGCTTGGGCAGAAAGAACCCCAAAGGAAACAAAGTTTAAAACTTGCAGAGAGGCTTGAGGGGTGAGTTGGTTTTGTGATGGGAAGAGGGCAGCTGTGCAAGGATAGTGGAGACATGTTCAGACTGAACGAAAACAACAAAAAAAAATCTACCTTTGCAATATTGGACAGCAAAAACATGACACATACAGTGTGCGTCCTGTAAAAAATGTCAAGTCGAGAGGAAAGAGACCTTGCTCAGCTCATAGGCGATTGAATGGTGCCAAGACGTTTTAAAAATGAACTCTTCGATTAGGGTGAAACTTTAAAGACAGATTATCAGATTATTTGAAGACATTCTAAACAGCGCAGTGGGGTTGAGAGAATATTAGCATGTAGGAGACCAAATATGCCGTGCACATTAAGGAATACGGCTTAACTTTTTAAAAAATTTACCAGTAGCTGCCTTACCCCCCCCCCCCCCAAAAAAAAAAAAAAAGGGGGGGAAAAAGAAGGTAATGAAAACAAACTCCTGGAAACAAAACAGAAGTTTCTTTGAAGTTGTGACAAGTATATTATCCTTTTTTTTTTGCTGTTTTAAAAGTATATTATCTAATGTAAAGTTAATGCAGCTAAGGTCTTTCCTAATATAACCTATGTACTTTGGAAATATGGCTGGTAGTTTAAATGGCTTAAAATGTTTGTTTTTCTTAAATTGACTGCATTTTTCCCTATTTCAAACATTAGACGTGTAATAATACCTTAGTTCAAAGTTTTAGCAAATTTTTCTAATTACTTTTTAATTACATATTACTGTTTTGTCTGGGTCTTATAATTAGGTAATACTTGCTTATAATTTTGATATAGTATCATCTTTTTCCCCACATAATTCTGCCTGTAACTTAATAGGAGACATTTACAGAAAGATAGTTGTAGGTGTACTGTAGGTACAGCCACATCACAAGTCAGTTTGAGTTTACTCAGTGAGAAAGAGCAAGGACCAAGTCACACGTACTCAAGGTGTGCTCAAGAAATCATTATCAGCGGTGGATTTTTTAAAAATGTTTTTATGGATTTTAGAGAGAGAGAGGAAGAGAGAAGGATGGGGTAGAGAAACATTGATGAGAAACATCAATCAGCTGCCTCCTGCACGCCCCCTCCTGGGGATGAAGCCCCCACCTGGAATCCAACTGGTGACTTGGTTCATGGGTCAGTGCTCAACCACTGGGCCACACTGCTGGGCACCAGCGGTGGATTTTTAATCCAACACATGGATCAAAGGGGAGATCCTCTCCCCAAGACCACCGTCCCCATTAACTCATTGATTATATACTGTAATACCTAAACTAAAATGTTGAATATTATTTCTTCGATTAAATTTCAAACTAGAATAAAGTAGATCTTTTCATGGCCTCTGCTGCTGTTCTGAAATACGAATCTGACAGCTTTTTACTTCTCCATTCTCATTTAACAATGTGTTTTATTTAACCCACTGTATCTAAAATACAGTATTATAATTTAGTTCTGGCCGGGGTTTCTAAGTGGTTAGAGCGTGGTTCGATTCCAGTCAAGGGCAAGTACCTGGGTTGATTGCAGGTTCGAAATGGGCCCAGTCTGGGCACATATGAGAGGGAACCAATCCATATGTCTCTCCCTCCTCCTCTCCCCCCCCCACTCTCTAAAAACCAATGGAAAAAATAGTCTTGGGTGAGGGTTAACAAAATAAATATATAAAATATATTATCATTCAACATATAATCAATATTTAAAAATTGATGTATTTTACTTTCTTTTTCATACTAATTTTTCTTTTTTTTAAATATATATTTTTTTATTTTAGAAGAAGGGAGAGGGATAGAAAGATAGAAGCATCAGTGAGAGATAAATATTGATAGGCTGCCTCTTGCACGCCTCCTACTGAAGTTTGAGCTCGCAACCCCAGCATGTACCCTGACCGGGAATCGAACTGTGACCTCCTGGTTCATGGGCCAGTGCTCAACCACTGAGCCACACAGGCTAAACCATACTAATTTTTCAACATCCAGTGTGTTACTTACATTGTGGAACATCCCATTTCAGACCAGCCATGTCTTACGTGCTCTAACAATAACTACATGTGGCTGCTGGCCACCATATTGGATAGTGCAGGCATAAGTGTATATATTTTGGATTTAATGAGATATATTTTAAAGTGTCCAACACAATACTTTAACAAAGAAATTGCTCCCAAATTCCAGTTGTTCTTTTATTAATAATAACTTTGTCACCTTTAAATTTTATCCTTAATATAAATGTAATATTATAGAAAATAAATTTGTGGTTGCATCTTTAATTTCTAGTGTAGACACGATGAGGCTAAAAAGCAATTAAGATAAAAACAAGGTTTTGTTGGTCCTAGCGAGCTGGTTTAGTGGGTAGAGCGTCAGCCTGCAGACCAAAGGGTCTCGGGTTCAATTCCAGTCAAGGGCACATACCTGGATTGCAGGCTCCTCCCCAGCCCAGGCCCTGGTCGGGGCTCAGGCAGGAGGCAAACAACCTATGTACTTCTCTCACATCGATGTTTCTCTCCGTCTTTCCCTCTCTCTTCCACTGTCCCTAAAAATCAATGGAAAAATAGCCTCAGGTGAGGATTAACACACACACACCCACAAAAGGTTTTGTTGGTGTTCTCTTAAAATACTTTTTCTTATTAAGGTCTAATGTTAAGGGGCAAAAGGATGAACATTAAACTTCAAGTCTAGTGCTAATGTATGGCCAAAAAGTGAAAGAGAGTTTTTCAATTGTTATTGTATAGAAGGTTTTGCTTTAAAAAAAAAAAAAAAAGTGAAACAGGCCAGTACTCCTTTAAATATTTACAAGTGCACAGATATATACATATATACACAATTGTTTTTCAAGCCAAGGGGGCTAACTGAACGTTACTATATAATTTATATGTTGTTTTTTTTAAGTTTGGATGAGATCACACAAGCAAGAGTGATAGGGATACAGAAAATGTTTCAAGTGGAATAACACTAGAATTCTGTTTGATTTCATAACTGCTTTTCTCATTCCTCCCAGGGTAAGCCCTGGTCCAGACTTGAAGTATCCTTGAACAAGGCATGTTATTCTTAGGATAAAGCCCAGGAATCCGCAAAGTGACCTTCCCAGGCATGCAGAGTGCGCTCTTGGCCTTCCTGCCTTTGCAGCCTTACCTCTTGCAACATTCCTCATCCCTTAGATGCCAGCACCCAGACCTTCTTTCAGTCTTTTCAGAGTCTGTCTCTGAGCTTTTCTTCTACTTGTGGAAATCTTCCGCCTTTTGCAGAGTTAATTCCTAGACTTCCCCCTCAGGGAAGCTTTCCTTCTCCTCCTCAACTGAATAACTCCTTCCCATCTTCCCCCTCTAGGTTAACTTCTTGCCTCACCCATCTCTCAACCACAGGTACTTCAGACTTCAGTGGCAACCTGTACTTCCCTCTTTCTGAGGCACTCATAAAGCTTAGTTATTTGTGTGGTGATTTATATACTGTTGATCATTAAACTCTGATGTGGGCAGCACAGCTACTGGTACATAGAAACAATCAAGAAAAATATGTTGGAAAAAACTAGTGTTCAGAGAGGAACATATTTTTATTGTCCTTTGGCCTCAGTTTCCCCAAACATTTTTTTTTTATAGATGGAGGAAATGATTCTTTAAAGTTCATTTTGCAGATGAGGTAGGTGATCTTCCTTCAGCTCTAACATTCTGTGAGAGTTCTTCTATCTAGTTAGGGCAACAGGATCAGAGGTAAAGTTTAATATGAACCATAAAAAATCCAGAGCACAAGCCAGCATTGTGGCTCAGTGGTTGAGCGTCAACCCATGCATCGAAAGGTCACTGGTTCTATTCCTGGTCAGGACACACGCTTGGGTTGGGGGCTCAATCCCTGATGAAGGGGTGTGCAGGAGGCAGCCAGTCGATGTTCTCTCTTATCAATGTTTCTACCTCACCCCTCCCTCTCTGTCTCTCAAAAAAAAAATCAATAAAAATATGTTTAAAAAAAATCAGGAGCACATCCGTGGCTGGTGTGGCTCTGTTGGAGCCTCATCCCGTACACCTAAAGCTTGCCGGTTTGATTCCTGATCAGGGCACATACCTAGGTTGTGGTTCAATCCCAGTCAGGGAGGCAACAGATCGATGTTTCTCTCTCTCTCTCCCTTCCCCTCTCTCTAAAGTCAGTAAAACATATCCTTGGGTGAGGTTTAAATAACTAAAAATCAGGAGCACAATATTAGTGGGAAATGACATGGGAAATACATAGAATATGTTTGTTAACTATTAATGAAATAGACCAGATTGGCTAAACCAGGAATTAATATAGAAGTGTGAGAGGAGGTAAGGCTTAAAAATGGGAAGTTACATGATAATAAGGTTGAAGACTTTGGACTTGATCTTCGAAGTCAAGGACCATTATCAAAATTATTATGGAAATAGTAACATGGTGATATGATATATGGCTTAGTGGCAATAGAACAGTCAGGAGGAATAGTTGTAAAATATTGTAATATTCTATCGTTTCTACATGAAGTGTAAAGGTTCTGAATTAGCATGGTGTTTTTAGTAACAGAATGGATGGAATTAATGTTGTAAAGAATGAATTAAAGTGAATGG